GCTGGCGGCGATGCGCGCACTGGAGACGCCTGGGGCACCCCTTGAGGGCGACCCTATTGAGAATATCACCTCGGAGCAGGTGAATGAGTTTCTGGGGTTGCTCTTCCAGCCCCCAGCCGATCTCCCAGCGTGGGACTACCCCGACCTGAGCGACCGCCGGATTCGATGGGGGCTGCCATTAGTTGCGGTTGTAACCCCCTCTAGCGACCGAGAGCGGCGCTAGCGTAGGAAACAGTAGGCTGTTCGGCGAGTCGTGTGCAAACAGCGTGGGTTAGCGTTTGTTGTTGTGTTTTGAGTGAGCGAGCGGGAAGGTAGTGAATAGAAAAGTGCAGAGGAATTGGAGAAAGATAGAGCGAGAGAGAGATTTAGGGCAGAGGAGGTAGGAAGATAAGCCGAGCGCGCAGCGTGCGAGCGGCCGTGGTAGGTGCGACGATATAGAGCGAGAGAGAGAGACTCACCGAGAGAGAACCGGGAACGAGAGAGTGAGTACAGCGAGCTGTTGTCGGCACACCGTCGGGGCTGAGTAATAATAATAGTAAATTAATAATAATAATAACGTTAACGGCAATAGTAGATTTAATAGTGACTTGATAGACGTCAACAGACGTATTTAAACGTACGACGGACGACGACCCATGGCAATAGCTCAGCTTGACGATGTCAAGGTGAGCTAAAAGGAAAAGAGGGAAAGAAGGAAAAAGAAGACAGTTTGGACAAGGCCGTGGATAGCCAGGCGTGGTGAATGCGGGGCATTCAGTCATTTACTCCCATAAATTATGAACGAGGACAGTGCAGGAAAATGAAAAGCATCCACACGGATACCTTTTTATGCAAAAAATCACCTTCCTCTGCACACGGTAAATGTAGTTTTTGTGCATTTGTATATTCAATGAACTCAATTTCAATAACCATTATACTCTTTTCCAAATCTGTCCAAATTATAGTGCGAACAATTGTTGGGAATTGCCGAGAAATTAATTAGCAGGCCCCTATGGAGAAAATGGAGAAAAATGAGTGCTGCAAATCATATCTATAACACGAATCAAATGTATCGGCAACTGCAGGATTGCTTAGCATAGTGGAATATCGAAGCATGGCGCTTTTAAATGGCAGTGCACCGTTGTTTGGGGATGATACAAAGATAGAGCAGAATGTAGTGTGTAATTTATTGATTAGACCTAATGAATTGGATGACCAGGCAATACAAGCCCAGAAATTGTTCCTCCTTACTAGTTATTGTACAGTGTACAAGTGTAGTACGGCGTTTTAGGTTTGAGATGGAGACATGGGGAATTTGGCACATTACTCATGCAAATGTTCAGGGACGGCCGGCGATGGACGCAGAAGACATTAGCTACATACTTAAGAGCACACCTAATTCAGCGTGCACAGAATGCATTTTAGAATAGCTATACAACTAAGAGCACACATAATTCAGCGTGGACGGAATGCATTTCAGAATAGTACAAAGACATTAACTTCAACAAGAATGCGACGCGGTTTATCAAACGGCCATCATTAGGCAGGCAATGTCAACGGTGGTCGGCGCTCCTACCTGGTACCTTCGGACATTAGTCGCGACCGGTCATTATATCCACTACCCACATCATCAATTAGTTCAAGTCTAAACAGGTCGCGGCAGGGATGCAAACGACTTAAAAAGGACGGGTTTTGGTAGAAACGACGGGGGAGACGACGGCAACCTCTGACCGGTACGTGTACACTGTTTTTAGCCGTGTTTGTAATAAAACTGTAATTGTCACCGTTTATACAACTGTTACGTCCTACTGTCAACGTACGAGATATATTCAACACTACAATTTGGCGCTATGACTCAAAGAACCAGGGTTAGGGTTTAGGGTGATTTTGCAATTAGGTTACCCTTTTGCAAACACAACTAAGAGTCGTATAGTATACATGCACGAATGAGTCGAGAAACACTGAGAGAAAGCCTGTAACGATGAAGAGAAGAGGAAGGCTGGCTGGCTGCGACACAGTGGATACGTGGTCGTGACGTTTAGTCTCTTGTACTCCGGATTGCGGGTGTATACGAGAAACCAATTTTCGGACGATGCTAGTTGGAATGTACTGTGTACGATTTGAGCTCAAGTTTGATTGAGTTCGCGTCTGTAATCGTAGGTATTCTAAGGCTATTTAATGATTTGTACGAATTTTCCTTGTTTATTGAGTAATCCTATCCATATTATCTACTTTGAATACTAACTATATATATATATAAGAAATATAGGCAACCACTAGTAGAACATACGTAAGGTATGCATATGCATTGTACAGGTACGACTGTGTGGATGATAAAAGGGTGCATGGTTGAGCGTGTCTCCGTGCATACACCGGGTAGATATAGTGAGAGCGAGGGATTACGCTTGTCGATGCTAGTCTATCGTCCTACCACATTTAGTATACTGGGTCTGAAAGTGTCACGTAATCGACATATTTTGCGCTATGTAATTCAAGCAGTACTAGCGCTAGACGCTAGCTCATTACATATGCACAGAAATATGCTTCAGAATTCACGTGTGGCGATAGTACACTCAGGCAGAATTTCTATGCTAGAACCGTATGGGTAGAAATACTAGCAAAATTTCACCTGTACGCTCAAAACGTAGAAACCTTAGCGCATTGCCGTGAATATCAGTGCCAGTTCGTCACCTTGTGTGACCGTCACCTCGCGTGACCGCTCACCTCGTGTGACCGCTGTCCGAATTAACGTAAACACTTGTTGTGTGTGCGTCATGTGAAGCAGGAAAATGCAGCTTCAAAACAGGTGAAGCTGGTAGAAGCCCTGCTTGCACGCTACTCACTTGCAATCGTAGTATAAGATGCGGTTGTAAGCGTTCCTCCCCATGTCTTCTTCCCAACGTGGGTGACGAGGAGAGTAGGTCGACGCAAGTCAACACTTGGCTTTCTCGGTGAGAAATGTGTAACCTCGGCGAGCTGGTCATATCACAGGATCACTCGATTTCGGCAAGCCCGGCGATATTGGGTGGTATAAAAATCCCGTTATTCTGAGGTAGAAATCACTGTTCGACGAGTAACTATGTCGAATGAGAACATCGCTACGTCACCGAGCCCTATGGAGTAGGGAGGACTGGAGGATATCGACTCTGATGCGCTGTTAGCATTGCCGCTGCGCCGGCCTGCTTTAGTGCCCCCCTACACCGACGGAGGCAACGAAGGCAACCGAGGAACCTAAAGGTAAGACACCCGACCTGATGCGATCTCGAGAGAGGGAGGCGAACCCGGCTAGATCAAAACCTTCCGTACCACGGCGCGCGTCGCCAACGGCTACGGTTTCGAGAGCGGGCGTTGGGCCTCGGCGCGCAGAATTCGGTGGCATCATCGAAGCGGCTGAGGACTGCCCCACAGGCAGATGGGCGTGGTGCAGAGCATGCTCCCTGCCCACGTTCCATGCAAGAGCGCATAACGCGCAATACCATGCGGAGGCGACGGACACATTCGTGTGCCTGGTAACCCCGTGTAAATTCCGTGCGCCGGCTTGTGCGCAATATCGGGTGAGTAGTCACCTAAATATTGCCCACCATCGGCATAGGCAGCACGGGATCGTCTCGCCGAATGTATGGACGATCGCTTGCGGTCGTCCTACGGCGTACAGGGAAAAGGGGAGAGGGTATCTCCTCTGCCTTCCCGGAGACGAACTGGAACCGCCCAATGTAGATACGGAGCGGCGGAGTCAAAAACCGAAGGGTGTAAGGGCGACTGGAGCGACCCCCTCCACTTCTAGTAAGTCAGCGGCTTCCGGCGGGGCGACGCGGCGTAAAGCTAGCAGACATAGCTCGAGGCAAAGCGCCACCGTCGCTGCCACGTCGTCGGCGCCCAAGGACGCAAAGAGGAGGAGGACAGAGACACCGTCCGCCAACCGCTCGCGAGCCGACGTCGGGGTAGGGCAGCACCGAACGTCGCCTCTCTTCGCGGATGGCAGCACAGTAAAGTCATGGATGCTGCCTGCGTGTCCGCAAACAGAGACCTGACAGCCACGTCCTGATCGGATGGAGGGGATGTTGGAGGCGCAGGTAAGGATGTCACAGGACATCTTACACGCGCGCATCTCTGACGATGTACGTGTGCTGAGTCTCTTCATGGATCGGGTAAGAGCGCTCGCACGCAAGCATTATTGAAATAAATCTAGGCTGAACGCCTAGGCATTACAGAGCGATTCATGCATTTGTGTTTGATTCTGGTTGTACTGTGTGATGCGAGTGGCACGCGTAACTGCGTATATACACAGACATAAATGCGAGTAACGACAGAGTGCGTGGCATTCGGAATGCCACACTAAGACGTAAACACAAACAGTGCCTTTTGGGGTGAGCTACTTTCAGGAATGTCAAAGATCAATATGAAGGTCAAATGGTCACAATTTTGCAAATCGCCTGGTATTTTGTTTCCGGAGCATATCTCGGAAACCAGTCAATATTCAACCATATTACGCAGTGACATACAGGGGCGTAGCTAGGGTGAAATGGATGTGTACGCATGCAGGCGTGGGGGGAGGGGAGGGTCTGTGGGTCCTCTCCAGTAATTTTTCCAAATGTAGATCGCAGGAGATGGTATTTGAGGCACCTTTGAGTAAACGTACAGCCTTCATTCTGACTACGACAATTATCTTTTTAGTAGAACTAATCTCTTCATGAGCAACAGGATGTGATCACTAAAGATCACTACACTAATCATGTAATTTTCGATTTATTTTCAAGACATGTTGCTCTCTCTCTCTCTCTCTCTCTCTCTCTCTCTCTCTCTCTCTCTCGTCGTTCTCTTTTATTCGTTACATGTATTTGTATTTGAATTAGGCAAATTAAGATTAATAATAATAATAATTTCTACCGGTATGAACTGATCTGATCTTCGTTTTTTGGAATTTTAGCATGTATGTGATAATTGAATTCACGGCAACGGGAGAGGTGGAGGCTGTGCCAGACACTTGGCTAAAAGAAAACAGCAGGCTATGGCCACCACACTCCAGCGGGACGATTCAAAATCTCATGAAGAATCATGGCGCCCCAAAGGAGTATTGGAATACGTACGAAATACGTCAAATAACCACTGCAAGTAAGTCACTTGAAAATAATGAAATGGTTGCCTGTAACTGTTAAATTCATGTGTTTTCGATACTATATTCGTGTATTTTACAAGCTTTTATCATAAACTTAACATATTGGGAGCATAAAAAATCTTTTGTACTTTGCCTGTTATTTGCTGTAATAAGAAATGACTGCCACGGAGGGTTCAATGAAGTTGCAACCCATGTCTAAATGCTAAATGTCGAATTGGTATTAGGTCACCTCAAACTGCAACAATTTTAAACCGTATATTTACATAATTCATCATTTATCAGGTCGTTATCAGAAGGCAAGACAAAGGCAAAACAAAGGCAGAGTATACATCTGACCTGCAGTCAGAGGAGGACAATGGTACGCAGAAAAGAAAGAAAAGGTAAGCAGCATTTATTATATGTTTCTGTAATAATGAATTTATAAATTCTCCAACAATGTGTTGAAAATTTGTATTAATGATGATTGATTATTCATTGTACAGTTCAAATAGCCATATATTTAGAGTATTTTACACAAATAACATGCTGTCTCACTACTTTATAGGCCTACTTTAAGGTACACAGCTGAATCGGATAGTGACCTGGAGGTTTCCTCCCCACACAAAAAAGAAAGCAATGGAGAGAGGTTCTCTGCCGCTGCCACCATCACCACCAACAATGCTGCAGAAGAGCATGCCTGTGGCTGATGAGACAACACAGCAGGCATGTCAGAGAGAGAGACATGCTCAGGTAAAACATTTCGAATCTATTCAGATGCTTTATAAGCCAGCACTTGATTGGTGCAGGACCCGATAACTCTCTCCAACTTAAAAGTTATTACACAAAAATTTCCCTAGGTGTATATGGTGCCGAAATATTCTTACATAATATTTATTACACTAGGGCCTACATTATATCAGAGCTTAAAACTAACCTAAAATCTTCACTAGCCAGCAGGGCTATAGGGATCTATAAAATCTACTAGCCATTAACAATATTTACCAAGTCTGAATTCTCTGCAGTGTGGAGATGAAGTACTGCGGAGAGCCGTTAGCTGTTCATGGGGGAGAGCTAGTATGGGCTGGTTGGTCTGTGGGGGGGGGATTGAGTTTGAATCATCTGATATGCATTCTAAATCTGAGACTTGCTAATTATTTACACATTTTATACTTATCCAGTTTGATTAAAGAAAAAAACATCAGTAATAGTAATTTGGCATTGAGCGAGAGGCAAAAAGCAGCTGTGGACTACTGAACCTCGCGCAAAAGGCGAGCTAATTGGTCAGCCAACACATTCTACTAGCTTTAGTTTTGGGCGAGCAATAGTTTCAAGCCTTTTATACGCTTAAGTTACTGCCGAAATAAATTATGCGTGATGTTCCCATATTTTAGCAGTGGAGCGACAGCTCATCCGGATGTTGGAGGAGGTGCGCGAGGATGTTGCACAGAACACGAGGATCCTCAACATGCTTTTAAAAGCAACTTCCACAGAAGGACCGGAGCAGGCCACCTTGCCAGAAGATGTCACCATTCCTCTAGCAAGAATGGAGGACGTCGACCACCTGGAGCTCTTGCTAGAGGATAGCAGTGTGGAGTCACTGGTATGGAATGATACCCTTTCATGAGAAAAGTGTAATTTTTCTTGAAACAAGGGCTGTGATTCGAGAATCATGTGTAAATTCAGCCATCTACTGTGGTTTGTAAGTAATTTTCTCAAAATAACAAACCTAAATAATAAATATGTTATTCAGTTATTAGATCGATTATTATTATTAATTATTAATAGATATCTGATATTAATTATAAATGTGTTAGAAGTTTACCATTCTACTATTAACCCCCATGCATTTTAATTTAGATTGCGTATCTCCATGTTACTGGAAGAGGTTCGACAAAAGAAATGGTTTGCCGCTTGCTGCGAAGCCTGCTGTCAGGAAGTCTTGCCACCGCCTTCAATTGGCAATTGGCAGGGGAAGGGGAATAAGAGATGGTTAAAAATTTTGAAGCTGGCCGCCATTATTATGAGTACGTAAGCTAAATTACATTGTTTCATATAATCATGATATGACCAAAGCATGTGTTTTCACTTTTAAAAGGATGTTGCTTCTTGGTTAATTGGTTAATTGTCATTAAGGTCGTTTCAAGCAATGTTTTTTTAGCAAACCCATACTTGGTAGTATATTGACCAAATTTGACATATTTTTCAACATATTTTAATTTATGATTGCCAATTAAATCATGTTTTTTTGTTTTAGAATGTGTCAAAAGAAACCCCACAAACGGCCACTATTGCGGACATTGAGTCAGTCGTTAAGAAGTGGCTGAAGTATGCTGCCAACCGCGACGGAGGAAGGAAGCGGTGGAGTGTCGCAGCTGAGACGGAAGAAGTAAGCTTTAATTTTTCGCCAATGTCGTAAGCATTTCTCAATGCTCGATTCATTTCTAATTAGTATTTGTCTCGTTTCACAATGCCATATTGCTCACACATCGGTACTGTCCTGTAACTGCACTGCTACTGCTCAATCGACTGCTCTATATCTTCATCAGATATCTCACTATATCTTCCTCAAGCACCCGTCTTCAGATGTATTAAATTCCAAATATTTAATCAATGCTGAATAATGTTTGATACGATTTTAGTGTAAAAAAACCCTTAAACAATCATTCCTATGGGAGAATATTGCACTGTTCAATTTTGTTTCTCTTCACACGCTTCACTGTTGCTCTTCTCTTTATTACATGTAAATGTACCACAAAAACCTTTTTTCAGGTTCATTACAGCTTAGATTTTGCCCGGCAGATCCGCATGACCCTCTACAGTCTGGTCCAGTCTTCTTCAAAAGTGGTTACCACCAGCAGTGACTATAGTTGAGCCTTTTCACCTACCACGCGCTCTCACTATCTCTGTGTCTCGCGCTCTCTCCCACCTCTCTCGCTCTTTTTCACTCTCTCTCTCTCTCTTTCACTCTCTCTTTTTCTTTCTTTCTTTCTTTTCCACTCTCTCTCTCTCTCTTTCACTCTCTCTCTCTCTCTCTTTCTTTCTTTCTTTCTTCTCCTATGTCTCGTTCTCTCGGTGCATGGTGCTGGCTGGAAAAGGTGTCCCCCTAACTCTGGAGCATCAAAATGCACCACTGTGAATACTTTAATTTTTATTGTAAATACTATAATAATATCTCTCTCTTTCTCTATCTTTTTCACCCTCTCTCTCTCTCTCCCTCTTTCTTTCTTTTTCACTCTCTCTCTCTCTCTGTCTTCATCTACGTCTCACTCTCTCGGTGCATGGTGCTGGCAGGAATAGGTCCCCCCCCTAACTCTGGGGCATCAAAATGCACCACTGTAAATACTTTCACATTGTATTGTGAATGCCATAATAATATATCTCTCTTTCTCTATCTTTTTCACCCTCTCTCTCTCTCTCTCTCTTTCTTTCTTTTTCACTCTCTCTCTCTCTCTCTTCACCTACGTCTCACTCTCTCGGTGCATGGTGCTGGTTGGAATAGGTGTCCCCCTAACTCTGGGGCATCAAAATGCACCACTGTAAATACTTTTAAAACATTGTATTGTGAATACTATAATCATATCTCTCTCGATTCCTGTCTCTCTCTCTCTCTCTCTCTCTCTCTCTCTCTCTGTCGTTCTCTCTTATTCGTTACATGTATTTGTATTTGAATTAGGCAAATTAAGATTAATAATAATAATAATTTCTACCGGTATGAAATGGGACTAATCTTCGTTTTTTTGAATTTTAGCATGTATGTGATAATTGAATTCACGGCAACGGGAGAGGTGGAGGCTGTGCCAGACACTTGGGTAAAAGAAAACAGCGTGCTATGGCCACCACACTCCAGCGGGACAATAAAAAATCTCATCAAGAATCATGGCGCCCAAAAGGAGTGTTGGAATACGTACGAAATACGTCAACTAAGCTTTTATCATAAACTTAACATATTGGGAGCATAAAAATCCTTTGCACTTTGCCTGTTATTTGCTGTAATAAGAAATGACTGCCACGAAGGGTTCAATGAAGTTGCAACCAATGACTAAATGATAAATGTCGAATTGGTATTGGGTCAACTCAAACTGCAACAATTTCAAATCCTATATTTTCATAATTCATCATTTATCAGTTCATGATGAGAAGGCAAGAGAAAAGCTACGCAAGGCGGAGTATACATCTGACCTGCAGTCAGAGGAGGACAATGGTACGCAAAAAAGAAACAAAAGGTAAACAGCATTTATTATATGTTTCTGTAATAATGAATTTATAAATTCTCCAACAATGTGTTGAAAATTTGTATTAATGATGATTGATTATTCATTGTACAGTTCAAATAGCCATATATTTAGAGTATTTTAGACAAATAACATGCTGTCTCACTACTTTATAAGCTTACTTTAAGGTACATAGCTGAATCGGATAATGACCAGGAGGTTTCACCCCACACAAAACAAAAGAAAACAACGGAGTGAGGTTCTCTGCCGATGCCACCATCACCACCACCAATGCTGCAGAAGAGCATGCCTGTGGCTGAAGAGACAACACAGCATGCAGGCACGTCAGAGAAAGACATGCTCATGTAAAACATTTCAAATCTATTCAGATAACTTATAAGCCAGCACTTGATTGGTGCAGTACCTGATAACTCGATCTCTCCAACTTAAAAGTTGGGACACTACAAATTTCCCTAGGTGTATATGGTGCCAAAATATTCTTACATAATATTTATTACACTAGGGCCTAAATTATATCAGAGCTTAAAACTAACCTAAAATCTTCACTAGCCAGCAGGGCTATAGTGATCTATAAAATCTACTAGACATTAACAATAATTACCAGGCCCTAATTCTCTGCAGTGTGGAGATGAAGTACTGCGGCGAGACGTTAGCTGTTCATGGGGAGAGTATGAGCTGGTTGGTCTGTGAGGGGATTTAAGTTTGAATAATCTGATATGCATTCTAAATCTGAGACTTAATATGATGCTAATTATTGACAAATTTTATACTTATCTAGTTTGATTAATGAAAAAAAACATCAGTAGTAATTTGGCACTGATCGAGAGGCAAAAAGCAGCTGTGGACTACTGAACCTCGCGCAAAAGGCGAGCTAATTGGTCAGCCAACACATTCTACTAGCTTTAGTTTTGGGCGAGCAATAGTTTCAAGCCTTTTATACGCTTAAGTTACTGCCGAAATAAATTATGCGTGATGTTCCCATATTTTAGCAGTGGAGCGACAGCTCATCCGGATGTTGGAGGACGTGCGCGAGGATGTTGCACAGAACACGAGGATCCTCAACATGCTTTTAAAAGCGACTTCCAGAGAAGGATCGGAGCAGGCCACCTTGCCAGAAGATGTCACCCTTTCTCTAGCAAGAATGGAGGACGTCGACCACCTGGAGCTCTAGCTAGAGGATAGCAGTGTGGAGAATCAATGGTATGGAATGATACCCTTTCATGTGAAAAGTGTCACTTTTCTTGAAACAAGGGCTTGTGATTAGAGAATTATGTGTAAATTCAGCCATCTACTGTGGGTTGTAGGTTATTTTCTCAAAATAACAAACCTAAATAATATATCTGATTTATTCTGTTATTAGATCGATTATTATCATTAATTATTAATAGATATCTGATATTAATTATAAATGTGTTAGGAGTTTACTATTCTACTATTAACCCCCATGCATTTTAATTTAGATTGCGTATCTCCATGTTACTGGAGGAGGTTCGACAGAAGAAATGGTCCGCCGCTTGCTGCGAAGCCTGCTGTCAGGAATTAGCCTCGCCACCGCCTTCAATTGGCAGGGGAAGGGAAATAAGAGAGGCTTCAAAAATTTGAAGCTGGCCACAATCATTATAAGTACGTGAGCTAAATTACATTGTTTCATATAATCATGATATGTGGGCAAAAATCTAATCTTGAATGAACCCTGAAAATCGGTTTCTGTGGTACATTACATTTAATAAAGAAGAGACACACAGTGACGTGTGAAGAAAACAAATTGAACAGTGCAATATTCCTCACATAGAATTATTGTTAAGGTTTTTACAGCTAAAATCGTATCACCATTATTCAGATTGAATTAATATTATTGGAACTTAATACAATCATGAAGAGGTGCTTGAGGAGATATAGTGAGATATCTGATGAAGAATATAAGCAGTTCGCTTGACAGATAGCATGCGTTACAGGACAGTACGCTGTATGTGTTTGAACAATATCGCATTGTGATAAGTACGATACAAATTACTAAATATAAACAAATCCGATGCATGGGAAATGCTACGACCATGGCAAAAAAAATAAAG